ATCACAAATGGCTCTGTGAACGTGCTATTCTTGCTCCGAAAAATGGTAGTGTAAATGCTATTAACTTGCAGATTCAACAACAGTTACCTGGTGTAGACGTATCATACAAGTCAATTGATACAGTTGTGGACATTGACCAAGCAGTACAGTATCCTACCGAATTTCTCAACTCGCTGGAACCTCCTGGAATGCCACCACACAGTCTGGTGCTCAAGGTTGGCTCTCCGATAATGCTTCTAAGAATTTTGGATGCACCAAGACTCTGCAATGGTACAAGGCTTTGTGTGAAAAGCCTAATGCCCCATGTGATTGAAGCAACTATCTTGACAGGCTGTGCAAAAGGAGAAGATGTATTTATGCCACGAATTCCCATGGTTCCTAATGATATGCCATTGGAGTTCAAGAGTCTTCAGTTTCCAGTGCGTCTTGCTTTTGCAATGTCTATCAATAAAGCTCAAGGTCAATCGCTTAAAGTTGCTGGTATTAATCTAGGAACTCCTTGCTTTTCCCACGGTCAATTATACGTAGCATGTTCAAGAGTAGGAACTGGAAAGAATTTGTACGTTTTTGCTCCTGATGGTAAAACTCGAAATATTGTATATCAAACAGCTTTAAAATAAAAAATGCGTTTAACTGAACTGTCTTCTTTGAATAAAAATAGCTCATAAAAGAGGAAAACATCGAAAAGCAACTTTATTACATCAAAAATCATTAACCAGAAACGGATTACAGCGATATTGTTCTCTCTTTCGCGAGATACATACTATCAATCTATCTTGACTAACATCGGGTACTTTCGCTAGTTTAATATTTATAAATATGAAGAAGTATGAGTTAGTATAGGTAAAAGTCTCTATTGAATTCAAGTCATCTGATTACTAAATAGATTTCTATGTAACATATTACTTTAATCGATGAAGGACCAGAACTGAAGAAAGAAGAACATCTTCAACAATTTAAAATCCTTTCGAAATTGGTTGCTGTCCAAATTTCTTTTGATTAAATTTATTATTGTTTTTTTTTTGTTTAGTTTAAAAAAACCACACAGTATTTTAGTAACTATATTAGAATATTTAACTGAAAAATAAAGCGTAATTTAGTTTGTTGATAAAAGTTTTTTTGTTATTGTTTTGGTAACTCTGTGATCTGCTAACATCGATGAAGAGCTAACTGTTTCTTGTGTCAATGTAATACCTCTTTGAACATCAAAAGTCCATTTTCCAGTTAAACTTGCATCAAAATACATAACAGGTTCATCTTCAAATTCAATATGAGCTATTTCATATTCATCAATATCAATTAGTTTATAATGAATTTCTCCTAATGAATTTATAATTGGTATAGTCCAAATATGTCCTATTTTAATATCATCTTGAGGAAAACTTGGTTCATTTGGTGGTGGTATTATAATCCGTCCATTTAATGATGATAATTCAGCAGGACGATTTATTGATTGATTTTCAAATATTCGATAAGTTGTTTCTAGTAATTGTTTATGTTTATATCGATCAAATGGATACATTCGAATAGAATTCATTTTTCTTTGAATATTGTCAATAGAATCAATTTTAATAATTTCTTCTGTATAATTCATTTCAATATATTCAATTGTTTCATCAAGACGTTTTTCAACATCATGACGTTCAATTATTTGAAGTTCTGAATATGTTAAACGTTGTCCCACAGAATATTTGTATTCCAATCGAACTGTTAGGCTTTTTTCCCATAATAATATTTGTAAAAATAACACGACGAATACAGCAATCATTTTAAATTCTTCGTTTTTTCTTTCTTCATATGTAGAATGTCAATGAAATAAATAAAACATTTTTAATCCAATTTTTTTTTCATAAGCAAGAACAAAAAAAAATCACTGTGAATATGAAAACAAAAGTAGAAATGCATCATCGAACATTCTTGTTCATAAAGTTAAAAGTAAAACACGATCAATTGAATAAAAATTTTTTATTCTTTTCAATAAAAAGAAAGAAAAAGGATGAATGTGTCTATAGTCGAAGGTGGTCAAAAGGAAAATTTAATCGTCTAACAAATACATATCTTTCAAATATTTATATGAAACACTTGACCATAGCAAAATATTCGTCAAGATATTTGCATATGTATTAGTTATGAAACCTGTTATTGTTTTGTCCAAATACCTATCTGCTGTTATTGTCCTTATGTAAATATCGGTAGGTAGGTCACTATTTTAATTTTTTGTCATGGTCAACTCACAAAAAATTTCTCAATGAAAACCATCATTAGTTATGATGCATTATTTTAGGATTTTTAGCGTTTTAATTGCAACATGGAAAGCAAGCCGTTTTAGTCTGACTTCTGTGGTTCTATTGAACTCTTCACGAACGTATTCTTCCAATAGATAGTCTTAGGTGCTTCTGGAAAATGAAAATAAATGGTTAGAATTCTATCATTTAGTACAACTGGTCGACATCTTGTTTTGCTTTACTGTGTCTCTATTTGCTTTTTAAATTGTAGTCTCAAGCCTTTCGAAAGAAAATAAAACTTTTGTTAAATCATTATTTTCTCTTTTTGTTCTTATATGTGCTTTACATCTTGAGACTATCCTAACTAATATTACTAATAGTTTTCAATTCTTTCTAAATTAGAAAAAGCAGTCGAATTAAGTATCACTGACTCATAAGTATAACATGTTTGAGCTGCATCATTCCGATCAGAGATCGAAGACGTTTTTTTTTTAGTTTCATCTTCGTATAGTGGAGACTTTTTTCTTGCTTATAATAATTTCATTAATTGTGTTTATAGTCTTCAACTTTGTTATGCAAGGAAATTTTCTTAACTGATTTTACTTCGTATTAACATTGAAATAGTATGTAAAAATCACATAAGTTTTTTTCAGTGTAAATAGTTGATGTAGAAGAAAGCTCTACAGCTAATATGACTATTTATTATTTTATGGTCTATTGGCCAAGCTGATTATGACGGGTAAATACGAGTTCAATTTTGATATCAACTGTAATTTGCTAGTCTATAATTGGCTAAAAGAAAAACAAATTTAATTTTTTAATGCGCTAGATTAAATTTTAATCTATAATCTATAATAAGGCTTTACATAGATAAAATATATTAAAATAAAACACAGATTTTTTTACTGAAAAAGAAGATGTTTTTCAAATGATCATAATAGTGAGCATTGAATTTAAGAAAAAGAAATAATAATGTTTAAATATGTATAATAAATGATGTTTGTTTTCAATTGGGTTTTTGTCTTGTAAGTTCAATATTTAATCCACCTTCTGGTGCGTTAACAACATCGGCAGCAGCATAACATGCTTGTAATGTTAAACATTCATGTGTACCTAAAAGAAAATCTAAATTATTATTCATAAAATTAGTCATATCAGCTTGAGCATATCGTCCAAATTCATCGGATTCTTCTCTTATTGTTAATTGTTGTGCTAAATTTGAAAAACCAGATCTTAATGGTGAATGTAAATCAAAATTATCCTTTGGTGGATCTTTATTTAAAATACATTTATAAACTAATTTTGCAACATCATATGCATATAATTCAAGCCATGCTAATGTTTCTTTATTTGAATTTTTTTCACTTTGATTTGGATTAAATTTTTTTGCTAATGAAATAATTTCATTTTTATCTGGATGTGTTTCACCAATCATTGTGAACCATGCTATATCAAAATCAGTCATATGTAATGATAATGCTGTATTACGCATAAAATCTCGACATGATTTACTACAAATATACATTTCATGAAGTTCATCATAATTAATACTTTTTAAACCTTCATATACACTTAAATAATTAAGAAAATGTGTTCCACTATGTGCAGATACTCGTTCAACAGTTATAGCACGATTGTCAAGTAATTTCGGATTTTCACCTCTTAAATTTCTAACTGTTATATTTTGATCAATTGTTCCATGACCACCACGTTTTGATGGACGTGAACTTAAATTTCCTAAAATAACTGATATCCATGGTGCATTTGTAAATAATTTATTAAAACTTTCATTTGCTG